TCGACACTAAAGAAGCGCCAGGAAGAACTGGGTCTCTCGGAGAAGCAGTTCCTCCAACTGAACCACATGACTAACACCACAAAGTCTCTACCCACGTCTTATATCAGTCCTTATGGCAGAGTGCATCCACCAGTACCCCCTCCACCTACAGCAGCACCACGTACTACCAATATGCAGATTAGGAGTGGACGTATAAGAAGACCACAGGTACTTTATAATACCCTGACAGTACTTTAGAAATTCAGTGATCAATACAAGTGCTACATGAAATGTACATCATTTAGTTTAAGACCCAAGCAATTATAAGCATCCATGCATAATAGCAAGGTCTTGTTTGATACTGTTATTCTCTTGTTTCAGACTGCCCCAGCTGTTTCTGAGATCAACATGCGAACTAATGCTGAGCTGAGGTTCGAGTATTTAGGAGGTGGCATCAAATTAATGTCCGTTTTTGATCCACGCGTGTATGTTGAAGTTCATCAGCAGCACTGTGGTGGCAATAATATTTGCTTATTTAAGGGAAAACTTCTAGCTAAAGGTTAGTTTTACTGTTATCTAAATTTCATTGGAAATTCCTTTATTTTATGTATTTCTAAACACAGATCAATTTACTGTAACTTCAAAGAGGCACTATGGAATGCCTTTTGGGATGTCACTCTACGTCAACGGGCTCATTAACTGTCGCATCAGCTCTTGCTGCGAGTACAAGCACAAGCAAGGACAGGTTCTGGGCGGTGGGAAATCCTCCGCTAACTTTCGCCTCTTGAAAGTTGAGGGAGGTCAGCCGTGCTACCTCTGCAAGTTTGGACATGCAAATCAGTCAAAACTCTTCCCTCCAGCATTTAAACCTAAAGTATGCAGATATACACCATAATTACAGTGTAGCTATGATAAAAGGCTATTTGTACTTGTATGTTTTGTAATTCTAAAATTTTAGCTTCTTGGCAAACTCTAAATGTTATGTAGATCTTTAAATGTCTCACTTATTAACGCCATGATGTATTTACAAGCTCGCAGTAATAATAACAACAAATGAGTGTACATTTATAGCAATAATTAATTACGTCGCATTTATTGTAATCTTCGCTTATCAATGCTTCCCAAGTATTGATAGGGTATAACAATTAATGTTATTTTTCACTAATACTCGCTATTTTTTAAAATGCATTTATTATGTTTTGAAGACTTTATTATTATTGTATAGACTACGCCTGTGAAGACAACAATGAAAATTGAAGAAGAACTAAAGACAAATGGAAAAGAGGAGGAAGAAAGAGAGGAGGATGGGAAGACAGCAGAGGAAGAGAAATTGTCAGATGATGAATATGATGATGAAGATTTCGAACAAGAGGATGATGATGAGAAAAAAGATGGTGATGAAGAAATAGATGGACAAGAAGAGGAAGAGAGAGAAGGAGGAGAGAAAGAAGAAGAAGAAGATGAAGATAAAAGAGAAGAAGAAGGAGGGGGAGCAGGAGGGGAGGCTTACTCATCAGATTTTGATTCACAACAAAGTCAAGAAGAAGAAAGAAAATCCTCGAAAGCATCTACACTCAGTTCTCTCTCCCATGCATCACAGAACTCACCCTCTCCACCACCACCTCCTCACAGTGAGAGCACGTCAGGATCATCAAAAAGTAGTAGTAGGACTCCTTCTCTGTCTCACAAGGAAAAAGATGAGCCTGTACCTCTTGAAGTGGCCGAAGAGGTTGTGAATGTTGAAGAGAATGGAGAGCTGTTTAATGCCATGGATAAGGAAGAGATAATAAGAGGGAAAGACAAAGAGAAGGAGGAAGAGAAAGAGAAAGAGGAAGAGAAAGAGAAAGAGGAAGAAAAAGAGAAGGAGGATGAAAAGGAGAAGCAGGAAGAAAAGGAGACAGATAAAGATAAGGACAAGGTGGAAGTCAAGGCTGACAAAACTCAAGAAAAAGTTGAGAGCCTTCAAGACATAGCCCCAGAGACAAAAGTGACAAATAAACCTCCAAAGGATGGTGATAGTGATAGCCAGTTGTTATCAGATGATGCCATGATAAAGGAATATCTTAATCAAGTACTGAGAAGAGCTCAGTCGTACATCAGTAGAGAGCTAAACATTGCAGAATTGGATGAAAATGATGGAATACAAGAAAGCAAGAATGAATTCATTCCTGCTACTGAGAGTGATGGAACTGACGTATCTTTAAAAAATTTTTCTTCCAAGCAGAATTCACCATCTTCCTCTTCTTCCTCTTCCAGTGTTTCTTCTACCCATGGTATTGAGAGTG